GAGCCCCGAGAGCAGCGCTAAGGGAGCCCGCAGAGCAGGCAGCCTCTCCCCAAGCTGCACCGACCTTGCCCAAGTCTGTCAGGGCTGCACCGACTGCAGGAAAGGTGTTGCAAGGACGCGCGTTTTGTTTCCAAGCCCTTCAACATGTAGTCTTAGGCATCCAAAATGTCTTTATTCTTCTGGTTGGATTTTCATTCACGATATCCATCTGTCACAACAAACCCACTTGCCTGTCTTTTCACATAGGGAAAGGCAAGATGTACATAGCAGGTGCTTCAGCTGCATGCAAACAAAACGCAGAGCCCATAAAAAACGCCCGCGGCTGTACATGTTGAGCTGTCCTTCCTTCTACAGGTGGAAGCCAGCTGCGCCGCGGTTGGCAAGACACTGGTGAACAGATCCTTGTGCCACACACACCCCAATCAGACAGGCCTGTAAGCTAGAAACCTTTCTTTGGAACAGAGGAACCTTCCAGTTCTTACTGATTATCCCTCATATCTTTCATGCTGCACTTTAAACGCAAGTGTTCTACCAGAATATGCCTTTTCCCTGATCACATGATTCTGTCCTTTCTTATATAGAAGGATAATAAATTCTTCACAAGAGGTATATTGCTCGTAGGGGTGTTTTGGCAGTTTCCCTTCCTGTTCTTTCTAAATTGGAGCTTCCACATGCACATTAATACAGGGCCTGACTCTTAGAGGGTTGTGCACACCCTTGAACTCCCAGCTGCTTCAGCAAGAATGCCTGGAGCAACCCAACGCCAACGCATTTAAAAGAAGGTGACATCCCTTAACGGTTCACCCTTTTGAACTCATTCACATGTGTTTATAAGTTAAGCCAGGTTGCTTCCACTCTATATTTTAATCCATTTTTAAAATATGGAAAACCCCCCCAGAATTCTGAATGACCATTTTAAGAAGCAGAAGTGGACTGGTAATAAGAGACAATCCCCATTTGCCCTGTGAGGGAGAAGAAGGCTGCTTGCCAGAGTACTGAGCGCAGCAACGTCTTTTCACCTGCCTACTAACCAATGTACTTCCATCTGCCACCCTGAAATGGCAGAGAAGCACTTCCTCTGCAACAAAAACCACGTGGCGTTCCCTTGTGCATTTGCACCGATTCAGAACTCTGGAGAAGGCAGCAATTCTTATTGTTTGTAAAGAATAAGGAATTTTATTATGGAAGTTCATCTTCATAACAATGTGTGCAGAAAACGACTGACAATTGTTAAAAGGCCCCCCCAGTTTGTTTAATGAGAACTGAAGGATGACTATTTACATTAACTTCCTATCACAAACAATGAAACACCTGAAGCAGTTGAGGCAGTAAATATTCTTTTCATGTCTTGAGAGATTATTGAACAATAACTTGACATTGTACTGACACATACCAACAGGGGTTCAAGATGTTTAGATAGCCTTGACCAAGTAGCACACGGCAGGAGGTCAAAAAATGTTGGCTACACACTTACGTGAACTATGTCTCTCTGTTGTTTTAACTCATGAAATTGATCTCTTACAGGGAACTTTAGGGAAAATGCTTCTGAAAGAGAAAAACAACCCCCCCTACAATACAATGTTTTGATATCTGAAACAGTGACTTTATCCAGAACTGCCTCAAATGATAGTTAGCATTTAGCATATCCCAAGGCTCTGTCCAAATTACTCTCTGCTTCCCCTCACAGTTGCATCTCAATGGAAATCATCACTGACAAAAAGAATATCACATACTGCTCTGAAATATTTTAAAAACCTTAAAATCAGGTCAATGAACTGCTACATGTATACAAGAGGTATTTGCCAACAAGTATATTTATACACTAAGAAAAATACCATAACATTTATACCTAATTTACAAATATCCAGAGTTAAAGAAATGATGCTGTTGGCTTTATGTAGGAAAAGCTAGTTACAGAGGTTGGGGAATGAACAGCAGTTTGTAATCGAGCCCTTGTCAAAGGTATTCATCACAAAACAGAGATGTTTTTGTTTGCCCCTGTCCCCTACACTATCTGTTTCTTTTCCTCTCTCTGCTTCTGCTTCGACTGCGTCTGCTCCTCTCCCTGTGTTCCACTTTACTGCACTTGTCCCCGTAGCTCTCTCTACATCTTTTCTTCTCTCTGTGCACATCTGTGCTGGGGCTCCTCGTTTCGTTTCTCCTGCGTCGCTCTTCGCCGGGGCTTTGACTTGGACTTTTTCGTATTTGCCTTTGCCTGGAACTGCTGTGACTTGTGCAAGGACTTCTCCTGCTCCGCTCATCCACGCTTTGGCTTCTACTATCCCTCTCCTTTCTTTCAGTCTCTCTCTTGATGGTGCTATGGTACCTGCCTTTGGACTGTCTTTCCCGCTCACAGGAGCTCCATTTGTTGTTCTCCGCAGAACTATCTTGCTTTAAAAGTCTATGCTTCTCCCTATCTTTGTCCTTGTTACCGTGACTACTGGAGAGATCTTCATAAACTTTTTCCTTCCTCGTCTTTGCCCTTCCTTCTGAATCGCTGCTGCTGCTGCTAGCCTCTGAAAACTTGTCTTTTTTTCTTTTCTTAGAATACATCTTCTTTTGTGCTGCTTTATCTCTGCTGTCAGTCTCGCTGTCGCTGCTGCTTACTGAAGTCTCGCTGGAGGATGAGGAAGAGGATCTCGCCTTATGCTTCTTGTGTTTACTTTTGCTTTTCTTCTTTTGCTGCTTTTTCTTCTTTCTGTCTTTCTTTTTCTTTTTCTTCTCCAGACGATCCAACTTCCTTTTATTTTCAAAACAGAAGAGTAGCACAATCAGACGTGTTAAGATAAGCTAAATTACAAAGTCATTGTCTTTTAAAGTTCACGACTTCTGAGGACCTATACAGTAAATACATTATTTTCCATAAAAACATGTTGAGTGCCTCTCCTCTTTCAGCAAGGTATTAACTTTAAAACTCTTAACCTGATGTTCACCAAAGTAAGAATTTTCCTGTAATCCACAGCTGCTCCCTCAAAGTAAGAGGAATAGGATTTATTAATTCTTTATTTATTTATTTATTTTTAAAAAGTAAGATGTATCAATTTTGGCCTTGTAACTAGGAATAAATACATTCAGCAGTGCTTTTCCCCACCTTGCCAGCCTGCTCTGGAGACTTTGGAAATTTACATTTCTAGCCATAAGTACACTATTCCATCATGCACACACATTCACTGCTATTTGACTGCTTTCACTTAGTTTTTATTTTTGTTTTCTGTGTTTATTCTTTTAAAAAAATTAGTGACTGAATAGTGAAACTACTTTCAGTGTGTTAAAAAAAAAATCCCTTTAGACTAGTAAAATCTAAAGGACCCAAATATTTACTGAACTTCAACTTTCAAAATTTCACATATTATAATTTCATTGTGTTGGGCCAGCAGAAGTTCAAATAAAATACTGTTTTAAATTACTCAGACGACATACACATTCCTTACTTCAGAGGAACATAAATTATGCCAAATCTTTTCAGAGAGTTATTTATTATATATGCAAAACCCATACGTATGTACCCGCTTAGCCATTCACCTTTCCCCCTTCCTCCCACTCCCCATATACAAAATATCTTTTAACCTAAAAGGCCATTTTAACTACTGATACCTGTATGGGATCTACCAGGCACTAGTTAATATTTTTAATTTTAAATATTTTCATGTTATTTCAAGATAATATTGCAAATTAACAGAGAAAAAAATAAAAAGGAGGTCACCTAAAATGTGAAATCAGTAGGACAGAAGCAAAGAATGAAAATTTCATTAACTTTGTATTAGAATTACAAATCTGGTAGTTTTGGGGAGCTCCCTCTGCTGGAGCAGTAAACTGTAAACCCTGACCCCAGGGCAGCGTGGAGTGAGGCCAACCTCGGCCCTGGGGTGCAACATCAGGTTCAGTTTAGCCACAAGATACTTGTTCCACAGTTCTTAACTAGAGCACAACAAACGTTGCCGAGTTGTAAACCAGTAAACAAGAACATAGGAATTTTAATCCTGGAAGAAGATACTGTAAACAACGCACCGCAAAATAGCAACTGACAGCATCTTCTGTGAGCCAATTACTATTATTTCAGCATCCCAGTTAAAATGGAAACAAGCCTCAGTACAAAGGCATCACAACTAGATTAGAACACCCAGACCAAAACAAAGCAACCGTATTAAAAACATGTGCTGTACGATGCCATTTGTGGTCAAGTGTATGCTAAACTCATCTGATTTTCCTCTGTGCTGATGGTGCTACATTCTTTCACGGCATACAAGAGTCACAGGACAATCACGCAGTCAGAACTACTGGCGAGGCAGATCTCCCCCGCTAGGTACCACGCTTACCTTAGAAGTTTCTGTTTTTGTTTGGTTGACAGTGATTTTAGAAATTCAACTTCTGGATCATCATCGCCTTCACTTGCGACAAATTCCTAGGAAAATGCAGTAAGATATTAAGTTCTTACATACAAAAATAATATCTTCATTCATACTGCTGTATTAAAAGTGATGGCTTTGCTTACCTTATTTCTGCGAAGCCACAAATTATTTGTGTTACTAAGTCAGCTTAAGATTCTTTGGAAAGAGGAGCAAATGTGCTACAAAGTGAAAAAAAGCCCCTACTTTCTGTCTCAGAGTTGAGTAGGTGTTATAATGTGGGGGTTACACAACAGAGGTTATCAGTAACATGAAAAATTTTTTTTGAAAGAAACATTTCTGAAATAGTTAATAAAAATGAGCCGATCTTGGAGCCCACATGATTCCCCAGGATAAGTCACTCCATTGTTCTCATGCTTGGATGAATAGGTAAGATGCTAGTCCTGCTCAAACCCAGAGTAATTTAAGCAAATTACTTTTCTGTCTCAGTTTAGTCATTAGGAAAATGGGTATTAACACATCTACCTCACTGTTGTGTTATTAGTCTTTAAATGTTCATAAAGTGTTCTAGCAATGCAAAATACTGCAATCATATAATCTGCATACAGTAGCGCAATCAGCAAAGCATAGCTACTTTGAAGACCCTGAATTCTTCAAATTATGTGCATCTGGTACGCTACAGATCTCCACTGTGATGGTTTTAATTTTAGCCACACTTAGGAGGGGAAAGAAGAAATAAAAGACTAAAAAGCCCTTCCAAAAGATCCCTACCACACCTAACGTAACCACACTGATAGAGCTGCAATTCGTTTAACAGTGCTCTCCATATGCTACATTTCTCTGGGGCACGTGGCTTTTTCAAACGCAAAGGTACACTCATCTGTAGAGACACAATGAATTGTTGATTTACTCATGATCTCAAGGGCTGAGGGCCATTGTTTCCTCTTTACTCGAGGTGTGGCTCCCCTGCCATACGAACAAAGGTTATTTCATGGTGGCTCGCTCAAGGAGAGCGTATGGACTTTTCACTTGACATTTTTACTAAAGCACCTCAGATAGAAATGTACCCTGTGCAGTCTAGGTAAAAATAACCAAATGTTTTCACTCCAATAAATAATAATTGTAACAACAGACAATCAAGTAAAAAAAAAAAAATCTTCAGATGTAGCATTCCTGGCAGTAACTATTTGTGCAGACTTCCCCAAACTTTGCCCAAAGGCTGGCACTGCGTCAGAAGCATGTGGCAAAATCCCTAACTGTCCCCTTTACAAAAAATTCAATTTCTAGTCACCTAGAGGAGGGATTTAATTTATTATATGTGCTTTTAAAAGAAGTAATTTATGATTCACCGTTCTGACTAAACCAAAGCCGGAAAACAGTAAGTTTTTGGATATTTTTCTACTGGTATAGCTGTTCAGCTTTCCTATGGATATGCATATTTGAAAACATTAAGTAGCAATTCACAAGCAATCACATTTAGATTTACAGACATTTTCAGCTTACTGGTAAAAAGATCATTACCTGTGATGGATCATTTACGGTCAAGTTTCTCCCCAGTACATTTTGTTTCAGTGCAAACCCACTGTTTCTCATCTCCGCTATTAGCTCCGAGGGGTGCATTGATGGCCCTGTTCACAAAAATCACAGTTTGAATGTATCATTTATATCTCTCTACCTTTTTTGGACTCCACAGTAGGAATTCAGTTGAAGCTTTGTTAAGTAAAATCACAGCTAAATCAACTCAATAATCTTCTGCTGAGCAAATAATCAGATATGATTTTCTAAAACAGCAGTCTGGAGATTCAGCATAGAAAATAATTGCATTTTTCTTTAAGTACAAGGGGATTCTCTTATGTAACTTTGTCAGGTTGAAAACAATATATTTAGGTAGGTCTAGTAATATATTTTTATTAAAGAAGCACAGGAAACCCAAAGAAAGCACATTAAATAAGACTTTTAGGTGCCTCCTCTCTGCTAAAACAATGGGAAAATGCACTTCTAATATCACTAAGAAGGTATTGTTCATAATGACACAAATTTTTGAACCTAAATGTAGAAAGTATCCCTTATTAAGAAACTCAGAATACATTCAGGGGAAAAAAAAACATGAAAAAATCATCTATGTCCTTACTTATTCCAGAGATCCCCAAATACATTGGATCTATTATCTCCACAAAAACCTCTTTTCTATCAGCTTAAAAACCGCACTATACATTATTTTAGAGTAGGCATTTGGGATTAGTACCAGGTTATCTTTCTTTGCAAACATCCAACAAAGAGCAAAATACTGGATGTATTTTGAATCATTTAGAGTTGAATGTATAATTTTTAAACCCTGTAACTCACTGTTGTGCTTTAACTGAATACCTGTGATCATCAAAACCTTGTGTACTTCTCTGATTGGGTATTTTTTTCTTCACCCTAAACACACACTCTTTTGTTAGGTCACTTTAAATACATTTCCTTACCAGTTCATCCACTAACCTTTAACTGTCAATGAATAAGCACTACTGTATGAGGAAAATATAAATTAGAATGTACAATAGAGCACAGAGCACATTACTATTTTACTTCTGTAAACTAACTGTAAATGGTAAGATTAACTGGTTTTATGAAACCTACTGATCCTGCTTTGTGGTTTTAAGAGTGTCTTAGCTGTGGAGACAGACAGAACTCAGTTATCTTTAACACAGAGAAGCATGGAAAGTAAACGAAGATTTTTACTATGGAAAACATATGGAAAGCAAACCAGCACTTCTTCAAAATTTTTCTTGGTTTTACTGTCTACTGCACTGCTTCCAGAAATAAACAGTCCTATATGTAAAGCAGCAAGGAAGAAGATAAAACTTTGAATGTAGTCTAAGGAGCCCTTGCACTACTGACTTTCTTTTCACAAGTTCCTTACCTTGCCCAGCAAAATAATTTTCTAATGAGATACCTTTTAGTCTTCCCTTGAGTTTACATTTCATTAAGTGGGAGGTTATTTCCCCCCTACGTTTTATTAAACGTGTTTTTTCTTTTTATGCGTTACAGTGTAACTGTAAGCTCACTGATAATTAATGAATGTATATAGGCTCCAGCGTCTATATTTTTGCTTATTTCACATTAAAGACCTCGCTCTGCTTGTCCAAATCTACTCTGGGCTGGAACAGAAACCGACATCAAACAGAAATGTAACAACAGAATTTAGTACCAGCTGATGTCTTGATTTGAAAAGGCCACATAAACCAGTCATAAAATTCACTCAAGTACTAAACCAAACCCAAGCCCTATATGACAAAGCTGAGTGGAGACAAAGAGTAGAGTCATGAAAGAAGATTTCACCGTATCAAACCAACCGAAACATTTGACAGAACTGAACTCTGGAATCCCTCTGTTACTCAAAGGCAGTCAGAATGCCTAACAAATTATGTGTTTTCATGTGTATTGGATACCTAATTATTCCCATTAGCATGATTAGATAAATACAGGAATACAACTTGTCCAAATCTATATAGCATATTTGAAAAAAAAAAAAAATAAAACCACCCCAAGCACTCCCAAGAGAAAAGCCCTAACTTTGTGGTTACAGGCAGAATCGAGACCAGAGAGGCCTTCAAAAGCGCAGTTCAGAATTTTCTAGAAACAAACTTTTCAGGCACTCTTTGGGCATAACACTGGAAAGATGTAAGCAAAATATTTTCTCCTTTTTTTATATAAAAAGCTTGTAATGAACGCACAATGCTATTGATTTTTGTGCATTTGTGCACGTCTGTGCTGTAACAGACGGAGCCATACAAGTGAACAAGAGGCCTGTCAGAGCTGCGCTCAAGTTGGGATCCAAGATGCAACCACAGGCAAACTTCAGAGCAAACTCCTGAGCTAGCTTCTAAATGCTTTTTTAGAGGTGAAATCAGCATTAGGTTTAAAAAAAAAAAAACAACAAATGAACACAGGTGAGCTCAGAAGAAAAGCAAGCCAGGCTAAAAATAAATTTATATGACTTTTGTTTTCTTGTTTATTAATGACATCAAGGAGACATTCATAGCTCCATCTACAATATTTCGGTTGCAACACGGTACTACCGTGACAAGGACAGTCAACAAATCGCTGTTACTCCTGTTTTATGGATGTATTCAAGCTACATCAAATGCACTTACAAAAGCTGGAGAGTGGTTTAGGGAATAAATTATTCTGGTTTGGGTCTCCTTTCATTGTGGTGAGGAAATTAATTTAGGCTCAGCCTTGTGAAGCAATGCAAGTACTTCCACAAAGCTTTATTATACACATTATTTTTACTGCAATTAATAGGAAATGCGATTCAGAAAATAAACCAACCCATAAACGATCGTAGAGTCAAAACGCAGTCCTACTTCACAGCCCTTCTGCTTGCAGACCACCACTAGGCAGGACACAAGCACACTGTCTGATTACAGAGGACTCTTGTGCAGTGTGTGACCTTTGCAGTTTCGAGAGGACAACATAAGCAAACCTACTCATGCTCTTTTTTCTGAACACGCCGATGCCACTGAACTTCTGCTGCCTTAAGACATTATATTTGACAATGGCTGTACACAATGGCTGTATTACAATTAGTACCTGCTTCCTGCAACACAACAAAAAGTATAGAGAAAATTTGTATTCTCCTAATTAAACTCCCTTCCTTGGAATTAAATGCTTGGTAACTTTCTTTTCCCACTCATGCCTCAAGAGACTTCTTTCGACTTATACTTTAATGATTTTGATAAGCAGATGTGGTTTTCTTTGAAATGTCAGTGACAGTTTGAGGTCTTCCAGGATTTCTGAGCACAACTATTTTACATGACAGCCTCGAGGCTTGTAACACACTTCTTTTGGGGCTGCTTCTTCAGAGTCTTAAGAAGATGTAGCTGCCTAAATGTGCGAACAATCACATTCCCATTGCCACACTGAAAATTCACACCTCGGGAGTGTCCTACAGATGGTAAGGCTGAGCTGAGAGTCTCCTGGTTGGCTAAAACCTTGAGAACTGATGTTACCCAAGTATTCTCGAACAGGATCCATCAACTTGCAAAAAATCTCTCCTACATTAGGCACAGAAAAATACCCTGTGTACTACAAATCTGATGTCCTCATACCTGCACTCCTCATGGACTGGTAAGACTGTGAAGAAGCTGCCTGTGTGACCTCATGCCGGTGAAAACACCTAGAGATGCCACTACACCATGCGTTGACAGAAGGCTCGATACAGGAATCCTGTAAAAATACCTGATTGCTACAACTTCTGACAACTAGTCTCTCAGCATTCTTCCATCAGTAAACTAAAAATAAGTTCCAAGTTACAATGTTTCATCACCTGTTTCTTATTCTTTCTGAAACAAGTCAAATACAGTACCTTGCTATTTTTAAATATGACTGTCAGGCTATTTTCTGGAATTTACATTTTGATAGGGAAAAAAAAAAGAAAAGAAGAAAACCTTTAAAACTTTTCCAGATGACACTTGTTTAAAACTACAACATTTATCTGCTTTAAAATTAATTCACAGTCTCAGAAAAGATTTTTACCATATAGTGGAATTAATTGCATGCTGATATCATACTTATTTTTATGCATTAAGACAACTGTCAACTTGTTAAGTTTTCTAGAGGTACTTAAAATTATATTAAGGGCTGGCACCAAAGAAGCTCCATAATTAAAGACCCACCAAAGGATTTTTAAAATATTTTTTTGTGGTCTGTATAATTCAAGAGATGGTGTTGTCAAGCAAATAGGCTACAGTTTCTTCTTGCTTCTTACTTCCCAAAGAAGTTCTTGCTGCATTAATTCTGTTATCTTCTGCGATACTATTTAAGGAAAAAATCCAGATAGCTCAGTTGGCTCAAAGAGATGGGGCACAAAATACAGAAACCCAAACCACTCAGTTAAGTGTGAAAATAAGGATTTTAGTCTTCACAAAGTGCAACCTGAGAGCAACCCTAGCTTGATAGCTGCTGGTGCATCTTTTTAATATTTGTACAATTAAATCCACAGAAGAGCTGTAAATAGAATTTTTCTGAAGCCTGTATGAGCATCGATTAAACTGGATTGCAGAAGGATATCAAACTAGGGTTTCTACAACATATTGTATATTTGCTTTTTTTTGTAACAAAGAGCACTCCAAATTCTTATCACTTAACAGAATCTGTTCTGCTTCTATTAAACAACTGGGCAGGGGGAATTAATTCCAGATTTCAATTACTTAAATGCCTGGCTTATAGCAAGCCGCATTACTACCCCCACTCCCATCCAAGAAGCAAGAGAAACCTACAGCTGCAATTAATTTTCCTGTTTGTCTGTACTTCTGAAGCTAAAGTAACACGCTGCTGTTGCCAGAACGTCTCCTGTAAGAGGCGCGGGCAGAGGAACTCCCCTTCAGAGAACAAGGCTCGCGGGAACACACCATCTCGCAGGCCTCCATTAAAATGTCTAAAGCACATTTTCCAAATCATAGAATATTAGAGAACAGTACGCTGGATCCTCTTTTCATAACAACTGTGATTAAATACCACTTTTTCTGCAACAGCTTCAGTGGCACTAAGGACAGACCACAATGTTATGACTGCCAGTATCACAAAAAATAGCACTTTTACTTTTATCTACTCATGATGCATAGTCTTGACAGCACCTGCT